TTCCCCCCCCCCCCCTTTTTTTTTTTTTACTACACCCCAATCTGTATACAGACCTAATTCCAGTTCTTTTAGTAGTTGGATTGGAGGAACCAGTCTCTCCACAACCTCTTAGAACAAATACACCTCACACTACAGCAGGGAAGAAAAAAAGCTACACAGAGTACAGCACTTCACACTTGATGCCTTTTAATATGCAAAACTAGCTTTTCTTTGTGGGACTAGGACTCCAGTGTTTATATCTGCTCATTCAGCATTTATAAGCGTTTTATCATATGGCCTGTGAACCAGTTAAGCTATTTTCTTCGACCTTCATAGGGATTTGCAGAGAATTAAAAATTAACAAACTGCATATCGTCCCCAGAATGGTTATCAGCCATCTATCTACTTGTTGGTGGAGCAAAGAGGGTGTCTCAAAACTTTTCTGTTACAGGCTCATAACCTTGTTTATGGACATAATTTTTTGCCAGGCTGAAAGCTATGTTCACAGCTGCTGAATCCCCTAACAGTGACTGCTGCCTTAGATATATTCTCTCAAGTAACCACTCTTGGAAAAGGAATGCCAGAAGTACATAGCTTCCCTTCCTTCAGAGAAGACCTGTCTCAATCCGTCCCTGAGTAAAAACTTACTTTGTAAGAAAAAATGGTATTTTCTGAGACCATGATTCGTTTTAATGGCTGCTCTTGAATTGGTAAACTGAAATGCATGTTGAATGTCTGACTGAGACAGAAGACCTGAATTCTATTCCTGGCTGTGCTATGTGAACCCAGTAAGCTGTGTCATGAATAGTCTTCTCTATTTAGCTTATAAGCTTGTTGGATCTCAGGGTCTTGTTGTGAACTTATGCAGTACTAGCACAGCAGAGATCCAGCACGTGGATCTCCAGCACTACTAGTGGTAATAGAAAGTTTAAGGGAACAGAACTCTTCCTAATAGCTTAATTTGTCCTTATTTCAGAAAACTGATGCCTGTGCGTTGGAGCTGCAAAACTTAGAAAATCAAGTAGCAAAACTGAGAGGCCATGGGGAAAGATTTCAGTTACCTATCACCTTAATCCAGGAAGCTTATAAATTAGAGGTAAGAGCACAGTACAGTTTCCACTTACTCAGTAAGGTTTCATTCTTCTAAGCAAGGTATTTTTAGCATCAAAAGGCTGATGGTTATTTTGCATTCTGGGAATGTGTGTGCATGTTTGTAGTATTCACTTCTGTCTTTCATGAACCACTAAAATGTATTTACATTGTAGGATGTTTTGGATGACATGTGGGGCATTCTGAAAACAAAGTATGAGGAACTGAACTCTCCTTCCATCAGTGAAAACCAGTATGAGGACTTACTTCATGGATTTGCAGAGCTGGTAGCTATTGGACGAGAGAAGATTGCACAAGATCCAAAGCAGCTAACAAAAAGCAGAGCAGCTCTACAGTCTCACCTAGAAAATCACAAGGTATAAGATGCTTATCACAGCACTACTCAGATCAGCATAGCAGGAGCACTATTTTCTGTGAGTGGTTTCTCTCCGGTGTTATGGAGAAGAATAACTAGCTCATCGCGTAGGGGAAGGACTAAAGTCTGTGCAGAAAACAAAGCACAGTTTTTTCAGTAGACCAAAATAGGACCTACTAAAGTATAAAAGAGAGATTGTAATTACAACTGCAGTTTTGGTGGTAAATTCTGATCAGATTTCAGTTTTGCCAACCTAATACTACTTTGGCTTACCTCAGAACATATTGTTATGTGAGGAAAACACATGTCCTTCTAATTACTGGTAATAAATCAGTAGTGAGGTTCCTGAAGTTGCTGTCTAGCAATTGGGAGTTGAGTCTTTGCTTTCAGCATTCTGTGCTGTCATGATCTGATGAAGGAAACTTACCCACAACAGCTCCTTTTCCGAAGGAAGGATAGTTTAGATCCTCCCCTTGGCAGCCCAGCATTACCTGTACTCAGCTGCTACATGTTTGATTGTAGATGGCTGAGAATGCACCTGCATCCTCACTGTCCTGCCACTTGGCAAGAAGCCCTGGCCAATGCTAGTCACTCGAAGATGTCTCTGTCATGTCAACACCTTGATTTATCTGCTCCACATAGCTCAAACTCCTTTAAGAATTACTTCAGGATGCCAAGAACTGCAAAGCAATACTCCAGAGTCATAGGAATTATGTTTGTCACTCGCAAATTGCCCTTAGCAAAGCAAAATGTTAGGAATTTGTTTACAAAGGAAAACAATGTATCTACAGACCAAATATATATACATTGATTTACAAAATCAAAAGAAAACTGCAAAAGCTGTTTTCCCTGCCCTGGTTATCAAGACTTACCAGGATGTTCACACAGCCTATGCCTGGGGTACAGTAATTAAGTGAAGTTCTTGTACTAGTTATTAGTTTTTAGTGAAGAAGATCTTGATTGATAACTACCTCATGCTACACTATGAATTTATTTATAGTTAAACTCTTCCTTCTATCATCTTCCTACAACGTCTTTGTATTTTATATGACTGAAGGAATAAATGTAGATCTTTTTCTTCAGAAATGTGTAAGTGAAAATAGCGTATGCAACTCATCTGCACCAGGGGAGGTTTAGACTGGTCTTAGGAAGCATTTCTTTACCGAGAGGGTGGTCAAACACTGGAACAGGCTTCCTTGAGAGGTGGTCGATGCCCCAAGCCTGCCAGTGTTTAAGAGACATTTGGACAATGCCCTTAATAACATGCTTTAACTTTTGATCGACCCTGAAGTGGTCTGGCAGTTGGACTAGATGATCGTTGTAGGTCCCTTCCAACTGAAAATAGCCTATCCTATCCTATGCTACCCCTGGTTCTTGACTAACTGTAAAATGATCAGTAACTGCCCATCTTGGGGTGATGTAGAATTTGGGTAGAAGGCTCCTGACTTCAGCTATGAAAGACCCTGAAACTGGCTGCTCTTCTCAGTGAGTCTTCTCTGTCTTCATATTTCTGCAGCGGGTGTGTGATTTGCCTTAAAGAGCAAGCTTTAACTTGTTTTTTTCAGGACTTTTTCCACAGCCTCATGACCCACATGGCTTGCATGCAAGCATTTTCTAAGAAAGTGACTCCCTCCATCCTACAAAAGAGAGAGGAATTCTGGAGAGAGCTGGTGAATGAAGTCAAGCTGCTGGAACAGAAGGCCTGCCAATATGGTATACACTTACAGAGCCTGTTAAAGGTAATGAGTCAAAAGAAACCCAGAGTAAAAGCTGGAGGGGAGAAGAAGAGTTGTGTCTAGGGGAGCTGTCGTGGTTTAGCCCCAGCCGGTGACTAAGCCCCACGCAGCCGCTCTCTCACTCCCCCACAGTGGGACGGGGGAAGAGAATCGGAAGTTTTTTTTTAAGAGTAAAAGTGAGGAAACTCATGGTTTGAGATAAAGACAGTTTAATAAGTAAAGCAAAAGCCGCGCACGCAAGCAAAGCAAGACAAAAAATTCATTCACTACTCCCCATGGGCAGGCAGGTGTTCAGCCATCTCCAGGGAAGCAGAGCTCCGTCACGCGTAATGGTTTCTTGGGAAGACAGCATGAGAAGCTGGACTGTCCTTGACTACTTAGCAACAACTCAAAACATCAGCACCTTATCAACATTTTCTCATCCCAAATCCAAAACATAGCCTCACGCTAGCTTCTATGAAGAAAATTAACTCTACCCTGGCTGAAACCAGGACAGGAACCCTTTCTGCACAGTGATTCTTTGGCTAGTAGTTGCCCTTTCCTGTCTCCATTGGACAGCAACAGTCTATTACTTGTTCTGTGTGTGTCAGTAAACTGGGTTTTTTTCCTTGAAAACCTCCGAAAAATGGACATTTCAACCCATTACTCCGACATGCGTGGGACTTTATGACTTCTTGCAGTAATTTTTGAGTGCCTGGACTGGCAAGAGAGCCATTTAAAGCACAAAAATACCAGCACCACTTTAAAATAAAATGTAAAAAATAATCTTAAACACCCCTAGAGGATAAAAAAATTAAGTATACCACTTTAAAATCAGAAACCTTGAAGATATTAGAGAATTAATTAGTTAGTTAATCTGTGGTGAAATTATGTCTCACTAATATTTCCATATTATTCACCTATTTTTGTGTTCTGTTTCATTAAAGTAAGAGCTGCTGATGCTAGAATAAGCATTAAGGCCTCAGCCTGGTGTAGCAAAAAGGCAGATAGATGCATGCTATGTTAATGATGCAATGTATTTTTTAGGAATGGATGGAATTTGATGATGAATGCCTAGTTTTCAATAAGGAGTTAGAGACACTTGCCTCTACATTGCCTTCTGTGAATTTGGTTGAAGAAACAGAAGAAAGATTAATGGAAAGGATTGCACTTCTACAGGTATTTATGTGTCTGTCTCTCTGACTCATTTTCTTAATGGATCTGTAGAGCTTTGTGTCCTTGTCTGTGTGGATGCAAGCTGAAAACTGACTTTTAAAAGTAGCAGGAGATCAGGCTGCTAATTTCAGCCAGGGGCTTCAGCCAGCTCCTTTTAAAACCCTGAGAATTCAAAATAAGATGTCCTGATTTTTATCATAACAAAGAGAATAAAATTCCTTTTTTATAGAATGGCAGATAGGCTCCTGGTTTGTTCCCAGCTCCATCTCTGATGGCAGAGCTACACCTTTATTTAGAACTTTAAGTCCAGCTGGAAACATTTTATCTATGTTTTAAGTAAATTTGAATATAAGGGTATGAATGCAGCCTTTATGGTTGTTTTATTGTTTAAATTATGAAGAAATAATGTTCAATAAACTTAGTGATCTATCTTCAGAGAGTGCTCTGCATTCCTCACAGGTTTGACCTTTCTCGGTCTTCAGAGGACCCACTCTATTACAAATTTCTGAATTAATGAGTCTTTGGGTCTATATTCAGTCCAGTTTATATTTAGATTCATAGACTATTAAGGCAAAAAGGACTACTGTGATTTAATCTAGTTGACTACATGAAAGAGATCATTGGATGTTCCCATAAAATTTACTAAGTACAGTAAAGCTTTTGAAATAAATCAACAGTAGATATTTACAACCATGGTGGCCCTCTGGTGCTTTTGATGCCTGTTGCACTGAGACAGGAGACATGCAATATTTGCATAGCCATTGATTGTGAACTTCCCTGGTTTGCTTTGAATTTGAAGCTTTTAACTAGAGAAGAGAGAAAACTGAAGAGAGAAAAACCTGGAGAAAAGTGAGACACTTGCACACCACACAATTGCTATTTTCTGCCTTCTCCATAGGACTGATCTCTACTTCCTGACTGTTTTTTTTTCCTTTTTTTCCCTTTTCTCATTTTGACCTTCCAGTGAAACTTAGCAATGGTAAAACGATGCTTTGTTTTTATTGAGCTGTCTAAGCAAACCAGTCCACTCCCATGTCTTTTACTTAATGTCTTCACTGTTCACTCTTCATTCCTCCCTGCCGCCATTATTCAATAATTATCCCAAAGCTTCCTTCAAAACACTGGTAACATTTTTCCAAAATAGGTTAGAGCCAGAAGGCCCTCTAAGAACAGGAGGGCAATAACTTTCTGCTGGGGACATTCATATGTTTGGACAATGCAGCCAGATCTGATACAGGGTGTTTGTCCACTGTTTGAGGTTTACATGTGTCAAAAAAGCCCAGCAAATCATAACACAGTCATTCTGATAATGTATGAAATTACACTGAAATCGTCTTGATCTATCCAGGGGAAACAAAAAAAAAAACCTGTGTCCCTTTTGCATGTCATGAAGTACAGATTCCTTCCCTTCGGAAAATAAAATACATGACAGAGAAAATGTGAGATTAAGAAGTTAGAACAAATTATATGTGTTTTGCTAGTTGCGTTCTCAGTTTTTAAAATATTATTGTTTTGCAAACTTCTCATATTCTGATAGCAAATCAAAAGCAGTGTTGATGAAAAGCATGCCAGGCTGTACCAGATGGTGAAAGAAGGGAAGAAATTGCTGACTGCTGTGAGCTGTCCAGAAATAAGAAGCCAGATTGGGAAGCTGGAAGAGCAGTGGTTGTCTTTAACCAAAAAAGTTGGCCATGAACTACACCGACTTCAGACATTGCTCAAACTCTTGGTCAGGTGGGTATAACTCAGAAAGCAACTAGAGATGTCAGCTAGAAATTAGTTTCTGACCTTCTATGGATTTATTTTCTGAAATATGACAGTGAGTAAATAACATCACTCTTTTAACTTAAAAATGAAAAAAAGAAGAAAAGCAGTGGTGATCAGAAAAAATGGCCCTTCATTACACAGCTGATTTTCTCTCACTGTGTAGCCAAGTGTTTCACTTCCTGCTTATTTTTGTAGGAAGAATATTTTCATTGCTGCCATTGCAAAGTCAGTGTATCTAGGTGAGAGCTAGGTGCATCGTGGTGTAGTTTGTATGTTGGAAGTGTTAACACAAGCTCTGATCGTGCTGCCCTAAGCATTTTGGCCTGCTGCGGATGCAAGCTAGCCTTGATTCCCATGCAAAGGCATAATGCACCTGTCTGTGCACGTACATTATCCATCTTACAAACATTTGAGACCTGGCTGAAATGCTGCCTCAACTTGTGTTTTGAAGCTCTACAAAGGGGAAGGACCCAAGCATGCTCAATGCTTTCACATAGCCCAAGCCAACTGTCAATGCAGTCCTGGCAGTCAGGTGGAGACAGTTTGGGACTCTACCAGCTGATGTACCAAGCTCAGCTCTCCCTGCACCTGGTCTATGCGCTCTGAGCTCAGGCTGGCTGGACCAATAGAGTGGACAGAGCATGCCAGTGGTTGTTGATATTTACCCCTGCTGTGTATTCTGTACTATATCTTACAGTGTGCACAATGTCTTCTGGTGGTTTTGACCTCTGGCAAAGCTCTTTTCACCCATGTGAGCTTGTCCTGGCAACTGCTGGGTGGATGCAGAAAGAGGATTTTTTCAGGGAGAGCAGACCAGCTGAAAAGAGCTGATAGGAACAGTCTTGTGTGTACCTCCAGCAAAACTGCCGTGTTCCATGATCCATGCTGTAGCCATGCTTCCACAGGGTTATGCAGCAGGATAGGTGCCAGAATAGCACATGCCTCCTCGCAGAGTGGAAGACAATTTGGGGGCTGAGAAATGTATCTTAGACTTAGCCAGGAGATATATGTTCATATGTTTTGTTTTTTCCTTGTAGCTACAACAGAGACTCAGAGGAATTAATGAAATGGCTGGATTCTGCTCAGCAGAGAATGAATTTTTGGAAGGAGCAGTCTCTCACCGTGTCACAAGATCTTCCCACCATTAGGGATAACATCAACAGCTTGTTTGTAAGTCAATTCTCCTGCCAGGTTTAGATAAGACATCATGAATTCCGGTGAAAAAGATCCTTTTGAATGTTTTTTGTATTTGCCATGACCCAGAAGCTGCCCACACAATATAGCGCTGAATGGCTTTGTGCCCCAAAGCCAACCCATTATCTGTGTTGGGAGCCATGAAGACGGGAGGGCCAACCAAAGACCTTCCTTCAGATTGTGAGGCCAGCAGAATGCATAAATCAGAACGGAATCCTCTTGTAATGAGCTCCCAACTACAGCATATCACAGCCCAGCCAGGATCTCTTAGGTACTTACAGTGCAATAGCGTGGTTTCTGTCTTGCTCCTGATGCCAAATACCAGATACAGCAGTTTAGCCAAGGTGATGGGCCATTTACCACCTGGATCTGGAGTGTGGGCTCAGGTTGCAGGAGTGAAGACAGCAGGGCTGTGAAGATGGTGAGACAATGTCAGGGAAGAGAAACATGCTGAATTGCATTTCATGTCTTTGCCTGTCCCCTAATGCTGTGCTCCCCTTGTATGACTAGCCAAGAGGTTCAGCCCCAGTGTGAGGCCTGACAGAGGGAGTCCTGCACAGTGGGAAAGCAAAGCATCATGAAGGTTGGACTGGTTGGTGTGAGCTGGCCAGAGACCCGAGGACTGGGGTTGCTCCCTGGGCCTCTGTGTGAAGTGAGGATCAGGATATTCCCAGTCCCTGTGGAGCAAAAGGTGGTGTTCAGCACTGTATCAAGTTGGGCAGAAAAAGGCGTTACCTGCTGCCAGAACACGCTGAGTTTAGGTTTTCTGAACTTTACAAACTTGCAAAAATCTGTTGTTTGAGGCAGTTCATTCTGTGACTGAAAACCTGGTTTATCTTCTTTATTCAAATATGTACGTAAATATTTACTCTCTTCTAAATTTCTTCTGTGCACCTCAGACATTCTCTAAGGAAGTTGATGAAAAATCTTCCCTGAAGGCGTCAGTGGTGAGCACTGCCAACCAGCTATTTCATGTGAAGCAAGCTGACACTACAGCACTTAGGTCATCTTTGGCAAAGTTTGAGCAAAAATGGGGAGAACTGATTACACAGCTCCCAGCCGTCCAAGAAAAGCTTCACCAGGTGAGGAAAAACTCCGCTGCCATCTCTCAGTTCAAGCTAAATAATTACTTCAAAATGTTGCTGCTGGGATTCTGATGGCTGCTACATAAAGCCCACAAGGCACCTCTTTCCTAATTAGCTGTCTGTCTTGCCTTCAGAATATCCTCAATATTGTACTGCAGTTTAATTATTGCAGTGTTCTTCCCGGGCTATTTTGCACATACCTATCATTTTCACAGTTTTATATGAAAGTCTGTTACAATTAGAAAGAATTTTACTTAAAATTTCTGAATTCTCGAACTTTTCTTAATTTAATTCATATGCCCCTCTGGAGCACAGGGCTCACTTTCAAGTTTATACCCCGATAATTGCAATTATAGTGCTCTGAGCCTTTCTAAAAATACAGATGTCATCTTCCTTGATATTTCTAACAAGCTGAGTGTAGAGGATTCATTATATGCTTTACTCCCAGCTTCAGATGGAAAAGCTTTCATCACGGGAAGCTATTGCTGAACTAATGACCTGGCTGAACCATGTGGAACAACAGCAGGAACATGAGGAGCCAATAAATTCACAACGTAGTGCTGCCCAAGTCAGAAGCCTCCTTCAGAAGTACAAGGTAAATGGGAAGCTGTAAATCCAGGCTTTCTGCAAGGTGTTTGGCTGTAACAAGGATGGAAAAAGCCTACAGGCACTGTCATACCCTTCCCCTTGCTCTTGGGAGGGTTCCTCAGTCTCAAAGGTGCCTTACTTAACATCTTCCTTGATGAAATCCTTTTGCTTCCTTGCCGCAGAAAACACCACCTGCCCTGCAATACATCTACTGCCTGCTGTGCTATAATCTCCTCTTCCTCATGGTGTCCCATCTGTCTTGCTGCTTCTCTCTCTCTTACATTTAGATTATAAAATGTTTTGAGCAGGAAAGCTTTGCTTCCTTAGGAAGATAGACTCTGTGTTTGTGCTGTGTTTTAATCTGCCTTTTCAGCAAGGAACACCTCGCAATTTTGGAGCTCCACAGCCAGGATTCATTTAACTAGAGAACAGGGTTTTGAATATTATGTTTCATCAAAAGAGATAACCTGCTAGGAAAGAGGGACAAGATGAACGTCCCTACAGAGAGAGAGGCTGCATCAGACTCTTGGCTCTGTTCAGGTGCTAAAGCACCAATGGCAGAGGCTGATTGCCCCAGCCACAGGAAGGATTCGCACCATGCTTGTATCCCCATAGAGACAGGGAACCCAAGCTCAGGGCACGAATCCCTACAGGGCCATATTTCGCCCTGCCCTTGCAGAGCTACTGAGCAGTGCTCTGGGCTCAGACAGGACAACAGTTCTCATTCTGCAGCTGCAGTTCTCAGGCACTTTGGTACTGCACCTAAGGCAAGTGCCAACATGAGCATTTCTTTCAAAGTGCCTTAGTATAGCAGATACGTAACATGCCGGTCTGTATCAGTTGTATTTGGAAGTTGGAACATGTAGGTGAGGTGCTGGTTTTAACCTTTTGGATCTTTAGACACCAGTTTGTAGGTGTGCCTTCTGCACTTGTCAGCAATGTGCATGCTGAGAAGAAAGCTGGGATAAGGGTCATCAGCTGCAGGGAAGCAGCTATGGCTTGAGTACCTCTACTGTGGTATTCTCTGGAGGCTTTTTTCTGTGTGCTACTAGATATAATGAGGAGCCCTTTCCTCTTCTCTTCTCCTAAGACCTTCTGAAATAAAAAGGCATTCCCATATGTTGTTCTCACTTTGTGTGTAGTTTCTCACTCATCTCTGTGGGCAAGGACACTGATGCCGGAGGACACTTTTTCCTCGCAGATATTCTGATACGCTATTCTGGTACCTGATATTTTGATAAAGGAGCATAAGCTCTTGTCTGCATTTGTCTGTGAGTGGCAGGAGTGTGGGAAGGCCTCGGTCTTATCCTAATCGGGGCCCATGGCAGTGTGATGATATTGTCCAATGGATAAAGTACTGGGTCTGGTACCCCTAGGTTTATTCCCTGCTCCGGCATTAGCCTGTTCTTACCTTGAGCTACCCACGTAATGATAGTGATTCTCTGCAAAAGTTTCAGTGGATGGAAATAGCTACACAAATATAGTATTTTAAAAATTGAGTATTGTTCCTACAGCTGGGTCTCTTTCAGAAAAATATTTTAGGCCACGGTTCAGAATAAGCCATGAATGTCCCGTAACTATGCCTTGAAGCATCATTGGAACTGATCAGATTAAAACTGCCAAACTAATTTGTTGTTTTTTTGGTTTTTTTTACTTCCAGGAATACATGATGGAACTGAACTTTAAACAGTGGATGGTAGATTTTGTTAACCAGTCACTCTTGCAGATGAGCACTTGTGATGTGGAAAGCAAGCGGTATGAAAGGACAGAATTTGCCGAGTGTCTCGGGGAGATGAACTTGCGGTGGCACAGGCTGCAGGCATCTCTGAACAGAAAGGTTTGATTGAGTTCTCATTACTTTTTCTTTCACAGCTCTGATCTTGCCTATGCCAGTGCTCTGTATTTTGCAAGCAGCCTTTCTCCCCGAGTCTGAAAACACCATTGAACACAGTGAAACTCCCTGTGCTCACTGCTGTCTGTCCATCCTGCTGTCTCATGGGCAGCCTATGGAGTGGTCTTGTAGCACATCAGCTGTCAGGTGGTGGGCAGGCATCCAAACCTCAGCAAGGACTGGGAGGGTAAATTTTCCTGTAACTTGCAGGGATGGAAAATAGACAAAACCTGCTCTTCATAACAGCCTGGGATTTACCCTAGTTGACCATATTAGATGGAAAGACTTAAGATTCCTCATATGAAGAAAATACAGTCAGTGACTTGTCAACAAAGTCCTATATTGAGAAAACTATGAAAAAGGAAAAATTCAGGGTAGTGTCTGCAGGGGAACCTGTTAGTGAAATCTGTGGAAGCTTTGGGGTGCTGTGAAAGTTGGGGCATTTAAAACTTCATGGGAGAAAACACACCGGATGGTTTGTGGAAAGGAGAGGTGCTACACTGGTTGGTGCAAAAAGCCAGGCCCTGCTCAGCAAACACAGCACCAAAAAAGCAAACAATCCCTCCACGTGCCATGTGATGGGAATGAGAAATGGGGATATATTAAGCTGCCACCCATTTTCCTGTTGTAGCTGTTGGATTTGCCAAAAAAAGTAATTATGAAGTAGTGTTGACAGCTGTGGTCATATGTCCCCATCTGAATCTGCTGGAAAAGGCATATCAGGAATCAGTTCCCAACCCTGCTCCAGCCCTCCTGGGTCACTGGAAGTGGTTTACTCTGTGTCTGTGTCTTCCTCCTGCAGGAATTAAATATTCTTCCCCAATGGAGTGCCTTGAAGATCAGCAGCTGATAGGCAAATTCTGCATGCAGACTAACTATACCAGCACATCTTCTGTGCTTCTCTGCGGAAAATCTGTTTCAGGCAGTGCCTCGGTATTACTCTATTCTAGTGACGCTAGAAATAATCCATGCATCCAGAATTAGATGCCACTGCTTGTGTGCCCCAGTGCCCAGAAAAGCTAGTGTGACTCATGTGATATGGAAAAGACCAGGGGAATGCTAGCATCCCAAAATGCAAACATGAGGCTGCTGGGACAAATCCCTCTATGAGCACATTCCTCTTTCATCTCTGTTTCTCTCCTGAATTTACAGGGCTTTGGGAGAAGCTGCCCTCCCTGAACGCAGATACAAAGACTGTTGATTGAACTGAAAATTCCCAAATTTTTCTGACTCAGAAAGTCTTCCAGAAACATTTTTCAAGCGGAAAATTCAGTTCCTGCACAACTGAAAATTTCCATGATGAAATTTCAATTTTGTGGGGGAGAAAACGTTATCTTCTCTAACAATTTTCAAGAAACTGTCGGGGCCAAGATTGAAGATAGGAGACTTGAGGTCCCTTGCTTATTAGTAACTTTGTTCATGGGTTTTAGGGAAAATGAGGTTTTCAGATTCCATATGAATGTGTCCATGTAGCCCATGGTCCTCCAATTTGTCAGGTCCACAGGCTGCCAGCTCCAGAACCCACACTGCTTTGTTTTCTTCTCAGGGAAAAGGTCAGATCCGAAAGAACCAGTAAAACTTGTTAGCTTTTCCTTTCAAAATATTTTCTTTAAAGAGTATTTTCACTGTAAATATTGTAATCTCAAATTTTGTCACAGAAAGGGGAGCCCTGTTTCTGCCCACCTCTAGGTTTAAGTAAGTTAAAATAGTTCTGTAACTTTCAGATACAAGACCTGCAACACATTTTGGAGGATATTACTGAAAATGAGAACAAAGCACAGACTTTACGCAACTGGCTGGAAGCTCAGAGTGATCGACTGAGATCTTTACAAACCCCAGCAAGTCTGATCTCTGCGCAGAACACATTAGATGATTGCAAGGTAAAGTACTTTATGTGTCATATTATTCTAAAAAACATATTTAGGACTTTGCTGAATCCAGACTAAAGAACTGCACAGATATTAAGAGAAAAAATGTGAAGAAAGTTGCCATTTCCTAGAAGAATAGGACAATGTAATTTTAATTAAAGCATGGCAGGTTCACGTGATAAAGAGCCAGAACCACTTTCAATGTGAATCGATGTTTTATGTTTTTTTCCTCCAGTTGGAGATGCATCTGCTGTTGTTTCATGGTATTTGAAGTGTTGTGCAGCAATATTGTAGATCTTACTCTGAGATGCCTCCAAAAGGAAGTAGTTCTCAGTTCAGCATAGCCATGGCAAAAGCTATCGATTCCATTAGTTTGAAGAGCTCAGTGGTGGCACTGATGTCGAAACTACACAGTCCCGTTTGGAAAAATAGCAGCTCTCTATACTCCTGCCCTAGAATGTAGTCTGTCTGCACCAGCCTCAAAAACCTGTATGTACTTTGGTTTTGTTGCATTTTTCTAGGCATCAGGTCCCTCAAACCTGGTACAGGTGCAACCAGCTAATAATTGGCTCCTATTAGTCCGAGAGCCTGCTGTTTTCATTCAGTACAGTGTTCCCTCTCTATTTTTTAACATGGAATATTTGTTCTTTCATTGCCATGGTTACTTGTCTCTCTGAAGCACTCTGAAATGTATCGAGGGGCCAGAATGGAAGAAAGACACGGGGTATCTTTGACTAAAACACTAACTTGCTCACAGCAAGGTACAGTGCTAGGATACAGGTGGCTAAAATGTTTCATTAAAATTAATTTGCTCAATAAAAATGAGGTCCAAATTTGAAAATATTTTGAGGACAGTTAAGTCAGGGGAGAGGGGGAGGTCATGGCTTTAAGTGCAGTGTTATAGGAATATGTTACGGCCCATTATGCATATGGATATTTACCCATGTTGTGAAGAACTTATTGCTGAGCCTTCCCCAGCATGTCAAGACTAGCTTATAATCTTGCTAATTGTGTTAGGGGAGAAGTTATTCTCCCAGGCATCTCCATTGGTTTCAGTGGGGTTTCTCCCATGGGAGAAAGCCTCTAAGAGGACAAGCTGAAAATAACTTTCTAGAAGTTGTTAAGATGTCAGGGTCTCTCACATTGCAAAGTCAGTTCCTGTCTTACCTTTGTCTGCTGGAGTGGAGAGAACCCAAATGCTAACCTGCCCAAGGAAAAGTTCAGCTGCATTAACAGAAAACATTTTTGCATCTATAGAGGTACAAAGAGGCTTGCACGGTGTTTGAGGAATTAACTCCTGATGATTTCCTTCCCAAGCATGATGTCCTGTGCTCATGCTGACACTAAATGGACTGATTCTAGTTCTGCCTGCAGGAGACTGTCTAAAGCAGCCACTGTCATTGTGAATTCCTGTAAAGCTGCTGTTCTGTATCAGAGTCGAAATGGTGGTGGTGTTGCATGACTGAAGAATTACACAGAATTGGTTTTAAAGAAGGAATGTTTATGTAAGCTTCTCACTCAGAAGGTTTTTTCCTATGGTCTCATTAAAAGATTTTATTTATCTTCCTTTTTTTCCCTTTTTTTTCATTTAGGAACTAGAAAATCAACTCACAACTAAATCCAGAACTCTTGATGAACTCAAACAGAGTTTGGCTTTGAATGGTAGTGCAGAACAAACCCCAGAAGCTCAGTCTCTCAGGATAACTGAGCTGTGTGACATGGTGGACAGCATTGTAAGCCAGGTAAAAGCTTTGTTGGCATTCTGATTTCCTCCAGTACATATTCTTACCACCAATGTTATTAATCTTCTTCATGGGATAGCAGGAGATGGTACAAAAAAGATGCAAAGTATTCCTTACTCTTAATTTTAACCTTCCTAAGAACTTCCTTTTGTCTTTACCATCGTGTAAATTAATATATTTCCAAGGTTGAGAGAGAAAAAAAAGTCTGATCTCAAAGTAGTTTGAATACAGGGGAGGAGGGACAGACCCCCATCTGCAGTTTAAGAAAATAAATAAATAACACTGCTATTTTTCTCTCAAATTGAAAATAGAAACCTTAAACTCTCTTACTCAATTTGTTTCTTTCATACCCTGGTCTTTCTCTCCTGTAGTACGCTGGTGGAAGCTGCTTACTCCTGCCCCATTCTCACTGTAGCTTTTCCATCTCCCAGTTACTCTTTCGTCCACACACCTGGATGGGTTTCGCTATCTTCAGATCCTGTGTAGTTTCCAACTGCTTCAAGGAGAATCTGGCAGATTGGTTTCCCTATGCAAATTGACCCCCCAGTAGTTTGCATTTATAGTTATCTTTTTACTTGGAACTGATCTTTCTTACCTAGGTGTAATTGATAGGTGCAGAGGATATAATAATGAGTACATTTATGGATTTAAATTTGTGATAATAAATAACCGTAAACTGTAGAGGATCATATGTGATGCAGTGATTGTATTTCTAGTTAAGATTCCCTTATACTTTCTATTACAAATACCTTGCTTTTGTTCCTCAAAAATTTGTGAAACCTGAACCCTTTTGCTTGAACTCTTCCATACAAGGTGTCTGTCCAGGATGGGTCTGCTGCTTCTTGTTTTAGGTTTCAACAGAAATTATGTGGCTGTTTTTTACCAGGAAAGCAGAAAATTTTTTGTGTATGTACATGATGAAAGTTCTTCCTTCAGCTGTAGAGCTGTGGGTTGAAATTGGCAGGATTGACAGCCTGGTGCTTTTTTCTTCTTACAGTCAACATGGGTCATGTTAATTTTAGTATTTTTGTGATTTAAGTATCAAACTTATAAACTGCAGAATGTTCTTACAGCCTAGTTGTCTGCATGTGCGATGAAACACCAAGTGCAGCTTTCTTGCTATGGGTGACTGCTCTCAGCAGAACCAGGCTGTGATTTCAAATATAGGTCTAAGGAGATTTCATACCTTGATTGTATTGTCTGTAGGTTGATCTCAAGACTGTGAGTCTGTGGCCCAGAGACATTTCACGAGCACAACGTCCTTCCGTCTTCCTTGTGTGGGCAGTAATTAGCTGCAGGATACAAAAAGCAACTGGAGATTCCTCCCACCTATAGCATGATTCAAATGAGAATAGGGATGATTAATCCATCTACTCCTGCATGCCTGGGACTAGGATACTAGGATACAGTGATTCATGCAGTCTATTTAGTGTGCATTATGGTGTAGAAAAGTCTTCATCTTCCATTATGTGTATGCATAGTCATAACTGAAAACTGACATCTGGCTTTGCCAGGTCCCATGGAGACATGCTTGTTTGCTTGCCTGGTTTTCATGCTCTTGTCAAAGCAGTTGGTACTGGCATGACTGAAAATAGATACTGAACTAGATTAATGTTTTGTCTAACCCAGGATAAGCCTTAAGTACTTACCTGATACAGAAGGATAAAAATGACAAATCATACCAGGAGAGGATCGTGGGTTTGTGTTTGCAATGTCTAGGAGTATGTGGCGAACAGAAACCATGCTTGCCCCAGTGTAGATTAAATGACTGTAATAATGAGAGAGACATAGAAAACAAGGAGGATATCCATCATTTAATTTTATATGAGAATTCTGAAGTTCCTAGACTGCAATTCAGGTGGGCCTGCATTATGAGAGTACAGTGGCATAAGGGGGATGATAGCTCTCCAGAGTACTGTAGTAGGGTCTTCTTCCATACAAAACAATTTATGTTCAAATTTTCATTAAAAGGAAACTTGATCTCTGGATCAAACTATCTGCTTCCCAAGAAGATTAAGGCTCTCAACTTCCTCCCACTTCAGGTTGACTTTGGCAGGAAGGAATAAGTAGTTCATTATTTCAGAACTTTTTACTTTTTGGGGGGTTCTGGAGTTGTGGCTGACAGAATAGTGCTACCTTGAACTCTGGTTAAATTTTTACTTCCAGCAAATTCTTACACTTCACTCTAAATACTGTTTACTGCTTGGTTTGAAGCCTGCACAATTCCTTACCAAGCAGTAAAATATTCCAACTTGTGAAATTCTTGTGGATTGTCACGGAGTGAGCAGATTTTTAAGTCAATTTAAAGGTGATTTATATGTCAGGACTACCAAAGAAATAGTAAAAAAAGTGGTTCATTTCCAGGTTGCACAGTTTAAGACCTCAATGCAGTCAGTACTGGAGCAGTGGAGAGTATATGATGAAGTTTATGCAGAAGTCAGCTTGATGACAACAAGATATTTGTACTGTATAGAACAGTGCAAATCTTCTGTGGTGACATTGGAAGCTTTGGAAAACCAGGTCAAAACTCTCCAGGTAAGTCTACTGAAGTTGTCTTATTTCTGTATTTCCTTCTGTGCCTTTAAACAAACAAACAAGCTCCACTGAAAAAAAAGAGAGAAATTTATCTGAGCAACTTCCTCTGTATTATAATGCCATTGAAGTCAGTGGAACATTTTGGGGTTTTTTTTACCTCCAAAGCACTGAGGACAATTTTTAGACTTCATATTTTATTTAGCGTGTAAGTTCAACTTGAGTGTAATTTAGGTACCAAGGTTCAAGAGGAGAGTACAGGTCAGCTGCTACCATGTCTACCTTACTGTGGGCTAGCAGAGCCTCCATTTTGGATTCCAAAGATCCCTTGACATTTTAATCTTCTGCACGTGTTGGAAGGCATCCCCATATGAAGCACCAGATCCTCATGCTCCCTTGCACTACAGAGTCCAGATGGACATGTGCACTCCACGACCATCACTCATGCTAACATCTACTTAGTCCATGTCTAATCTACATGTGCAGCAGAAAATTTTGCTGAAAATACAGCTGGCAAAGGAAAACCTAATGACATCGCTGTATGTGTTTGCCCAAAGGTTACTCACCCATTCAGGTGAAAGATGATGGCTCATTGCTCAAAAAGGAAATTTGTGCCTTTGCTTGCACTTCCCAGTGAAATGCCCTGCCATAAAGCTGTAGCATAACCTGGAAGGCGATGCCTCTGCATCAATGCAGGGACTCAGCAGAAATGAAGGGGACCTGGGAGAAAATTGGCAAAAGGACCTTGTTTCTAAATCTGTGATTTGAATGCTTTCTGTGGGTTACTATGTCCCAGCCACTGTGCCAGTAACCACCGACACATTTTGCATTAAAGTGTTACTTGGATTAAAGCACCTTTCCACATATAAACAGCACTGGAGTCAAAGGTCCAGGACCCAGGATACCTATTCCCAAAAGCTGTGGCTTGGTTTGGGTCGGTGCAGCAGCCCTGGGGCAGAGCAGGGGGATCCCCAAGCCTGGCGTTTCTGATTCCTCCAGCACAAAGTCAGCTTTTCAGTCACCCTCCAGAGAGCTACAGTTTCCTGTGCAGCCTCTGAATGAGGCTGGGCATAAATGCCAGGTGTAAATGCTCTGGTTTATCCTGCTGCTCTGCTTGGCTATTACCATGGGGCATCTAGAGTAGGCAATGAGGCTGGCCCCAGGTCTGAATGTTTTACAGATATGGCTAAAATCCTCTTACCTGGCTTTAAATGTCTTGAAAGGCTGCATAAACACTCATTGTATCAGTGTAAATAAGGCCTGTATTGGTTTATTTTCAAGTTCTATCAGAAGTGGTGCAGGCCAGACTGAGGCTGTGAATCCCAAGCACATGCCTGCATGAGTGCTTTCCACCCTCACCTGGGGACACGTAATAGATGGAAGAAACTGGGCACTTTCTTGCCTCCTCCCTTCCATCACCCTCTTCATCTTTAATCTGTGTGGGCAGATTAGTTCACAGATACAACCCATGGCAGGGTTCCGCAATTGCCTGTGTCAGGAGGAGGAACACACAGCTGGGGACAGGACACGAGTTGTCAAGACAACTTTATTGCCAGCAGAAATTTTGCTGAAATAGTAGCTTAAAATAAAACCATTTTGATTTCGAGTGAGTTCAAGGCTATGGGTTTGTTAAATGAGCTGTTTCTTTAAGACCAAATAAATGAACTCAGTTTAAAATAGGCCTCATGAATGATTTTTTTTAACTTGAACTTCCTAATTTTTAGGATCAGCTGTACACTTTTCACAAACATTTTAATCTGTGCTGCAACTGTGTGGCATTATTGCTACCCTATCCGTACCAATTTATAGGGGAAGCTATACTTAGATTGTTCATCTCCACAACTAATTGCAATAATCCATTTTGCAGTCACTTCAAGATGAATTGGAGAACAGTGAAGAAAGTTGTGCCAAGCTCCAGGCTGCTGCCAGAAACCTGAAGAAGAACTGCTCCCCGTCCTTTGCAGAGATTATTGAACAGAAGTGCACGGAAGCACACACTAGGTAAGCTTGCAAAAAAGACCCCCAGTTACTAGTATTTTAAAAAGTAAAAAAGTTGCTGAGACAGGACTTGAATGTCTGTCAGATTTTAAAAATCTGTATTCATACGACTTACCTGTCCAAGGGTGTCTGTGTGAGGAGTAGCTGATACTACCTTTTTTGTGATGGATTACAGAGCACAAAACGGTGTTGTGTCGGTGGGCTTTCAGTAACATGGGTCTGAATGCAAAGAAACTCCCACAGGAATCCTACACTAAATCATATTCTGGTGGAGAATCTACTAGGAAAATGTTCTTATCCTTTGATATGTTGGCAGGTGGAACTCAGTAAATGAAGACATCACAGATCAACTGCGGGCAGCGCAAGCAACCCTGCAGCTTTGGGAGCCCTACAATACTTTATGCACTGAGACAGCAGCCAAGTTGCAACAGCACAAAGAGCAGTGCACTCAGCTCTTGGATGCTCACATGCCTGAGGACAACATAGAAACCCTGACGCAGAGGATACGGGATGTAAAGGTATATGAATATGTTTCTGCTGCCTGGTAGAAACCAGGATTTTCTTTGACAAATCAAAAGAAAACCTTCTTACCCCCTTCTCTCCCAAATCCAGTCAGCAGAAAACATAAAATCCATGGAGTTTTTTTCCCTTAACAAGCACCTTTGTATTTCCTTCAAATACTTTGAACAGATCCTGAGATCAAACCAGAGTTAGCATAGGATGAGAAGAGAGCAGAAGGGAGCAATCATATTCCATTTCTGCCCCTTTCTGCTCTATACAAAGAATCAGGGCTGTATTGGAAGGAATCATTAAACCAAAGTGCTTTACTTTATAGGGCAATGCTTGGGAGGAGAGATAATATCTACTAGAACAATAGCTGGGGAAAAAAGACTAACTTTCCAGAACACAGGACCATCCTGAGGTCTTCTATATTCTTCAAATTGGTTTTATTTGGGTTTGGTACTTTTTTTGGCCTGGTGTGATAAGCTCACAGATTTCTGAGCTCATTAGATTATTCTAAATGGTTCTAACTTTAGGCAAATGAGATCTCATGCTGAGACCACAGGGTACATTTGAATCTCTCAGGCAGCAAAACTGTCATTAGGTTCTGACATTTTGGTTTCCTCAGACTGCAATAAAGAAATATAATAATCCTTATTTCAGGACAGAGCAATGATTCATCATGCTTTATTAATCTCTAGCCACATACTGGAAGAAGTCCAAAGTACTCCATTTTCCATGTGGCCAACTGAGAATCTTTACATTATGGGGAAGAGAACTCAGATATTTCTTCCCGTGTCAACAACAGCTGACAGCAGCAAAACTTGACCAAAACATTTTCACTTTCTTCTGATCTATTAATGGCTGTGAAATGAATTCATCAGTATGTCAGCAAAAAGGCATCACATTTTCTGGAAATTTTTGGGAAGAGTTTTGCACCTACTAAGCAGGGCATGACCACTAGAGTGCCATTAGCACTGTAGATCCTGTTTTTGTATGTGTGGATCGGACACATGGAATTTGTTGTGTTTTTTTGAAAGTGGTGGGTTAGAAGAATGGGGATCAGGGATATGGCATATGTTACATGTATTTGAAAATACATGTGCATTACAAAACTGTATTTAATCTCTCTGACCTTTTCCTCTGGTATATGTTAGGGAAGTTTATGGTTTTATGGAACTCTCTCGCCACAATAAATAAAAATAAAGTCCTATATAGAGAGTAAGAAATCAAAATGGGTTATTTACTAAATGGCTGAACTGGCAGTTTACAATATGATCCATTCCAAAGATGCATCAGAAACTAAGAGCCATTTTGCTTTTTAGGGAAACATGTCTACTCTTTGCTATCAATCAGAAGTCTTTGTTCATTGCTGAAAGACAATTTACAGTGGTAAATTCCAGGGGGTATCATGGCTAAAAGTAAATGATAGTTCTAGAAATAGGTATATTTCAGCATGACATCTTGCCATTCCTTGTCCAGGTCAAAAAAAAAAAAAAAGAAAAAATCAAGGACATGGAACGAGTATAAAATGATTCCCTTTGTCCTTGTACTGCCTTTAGAGTTTAATTTTATAACATCATTTCTGTAGTACATGGGAAGAAATAAAACCGCAACCATATTCCTCGGTCACTAAAGGATCCAAAGTACTGGTATGTTTGTAACATAATTGTATTTCTCATCTGCAGCATGGACTAGTTTTCCATCTGCTAGAGTAAATCCGTTCTGTAGGGAGGGATATTCTGATTTCTCTCCCTAATCTCTGTCACAGTAGTATCCCGCTGCCTGAAGTCACTGGTGTTCCACTGAACTTTGAACTGTGCCTTTCCCAGTGCTAGAGTCAATGGAAGCAATTCCCATTATCCTCCAAGTAAAAGACTGAATCTTTTGTCATAGCTGAATTTGGCTCCCAGGGGAGATCAACAAAAAGAGCTTAGTTACAGCAACAAAAGATACTAAATGAAAGTGGCACATGAATGATGATCTGATTAATTTGCCAACTTTTCTTTCTTTCCCCTTCTCTCATAAGAATTTACAGCATGGCCTTCAAAACATAGCAGGATGCCGTACCCAGATTTCTTTGCTGGCTGATCGGATAAAAAAACAGTCTGGGACAGATGCAGAAGCCTTTCTGTTGGAGAAGCTGCAGCCACTCCAGAGAGCATCCTATTTGGAAAAGATGTTGCAGAGGAAGTTAGATGAATTGGAGGTATTTTTTTGAATATTAAATTAGCTGTCAGTGTGAGGTAACTTCTTCACTAGAGCCCTGTAGTTCTTGAATTGAAATTAAATTTCAGTAAAATAAAGCTTGACCGTATGATCAACTATGTAAACAAATAATATATGAAGCCAGAGAGACAGATGAAAGGAGGGTTTCACCCTTCTTACCTGCTTGTGTTGCTCAAACAAGCCTTTATAAGTGGACCTATTACAGTCAAGCAGTATGGGACCCTCAGATGATTGCGGGTTAGGAAACGTATTTTTATTCTATGAGCTTTGAAGGAAGTTGTAAACTTGCTCAGCTCTACGTTGGAAAAAACCTAAGAGCTTCAGTTTGCTTCCATAAGAGTGCACACAATGTATCTAAAACCAAGCAGAAAACTGTGATAATTTGATGTAATTTTGAAAACCAGAATCACATCCCTGTTCAGGCAGAGTAGGGAGAGACCTGGATCCAGGTTTCCCTATACGATGCTCTGCTCACAGGAGTTCTGTGGAATTGACTTTCCCTCTGCGCAAGTATTCCTGAGAAATCTTCCAAGTAAATGTACTGCTGTACATTTACTGATGTAAAACTAGTCTGTTCCTGTGAAAACATCTGATTTCAATGAATTGTTCTGTTCTAAAGTAAACCCAGATTTTTCAAGAAACATTCATCCAGCTCTATTTATGACTCCATCTTACCAGCACAGTTCAACGGCTGGAAGCCAGATATCTTTGTGAAGATAACAGATTTTTTCATATTCCCTGTGAACTTCTCGCTCAATAAAAAATTCATTTCTGGGTAGTCATTTTCTCTGCTGTAACCCTGTAGCATTACCACAGAACTGTCTCTCTCCCCACACCAATTTTTGACACTCATTCCTTATAAAAATGTCACTGTTTCAGTGTTCTTAGAGGTGTGGAACTTAATTCTTGCAAGAAAGAAAAAACTTCCCCAGTGCTCTTCTCCCTGACCCAAAGAAACCAACCTAGTGAATAAAAAAGTTGAATTCCAGCCCTAGTTATTTCTCTCCACAGAGCTCCTGTAAGATGCACAGCCTTGGCTGCAGGCACATGGGAGCAGACCTTGTGTGTAGCTCAAAGGAAGCTCATTTTCACAAGTTCTTCCCTCTGATAAACTAAGTTTTGGCTTTCCAGTTTCACAATAAATCAAACAGCCCAGAGCTACAAAAAGGTATCACAGATGCCGGTATTCCTTCCAGATAGATATGAGTCTCAGGATTTAGAGATTCAGTTTCTTGCTCTCTGCTTTGGCTTAAGTTTTCCCCTTATCCAGTGCAAAAACTGAAAAAGTTCAGTTAGTGAACTATAAATACATCAGAATTTGGATTTAACATCTGTTTGTTTTCCCTAGGATACTACTTATTACTTCTTTTTGTATACTGAATGTGTATATTAAATCATAATTAATGTAAATATGCAATATTCACCCTAGTTCAATCTTTTACAACTGGAGGATTTCAAGAACTGTGTTGAAACGCTGGAGGGTCATGTCAAGAATTGCACAGACGCCTTTGATAGTCTCTGTCTAGAGGGAGACACAGACAATTCGGAATTGTTCATGGTATGTTTGGATTCCCAAGTACAAAAAGATACATACTCAGGATTTAAGTGTCTGTAGGATACCAGCTCTTGCCCTCTTCAAGAAACTCTGTGTCCTAAGTTTCGTTGTTATAGCACTTCCATCAGAGTAACTATAATTTCATCCAAAACACTAAAAGCAATTATTTAAATTCATGCAAATTCTAGATATGTTTTGCAGGCCAAATGCCTGCACAAAGGGGAGGAAAAATAACATAGATTTGGGGTTGATGGGAGTTCCTTTTCCCCAGCTTTGCTCTGGAACTACCCTGTTGCCCTCAATGTAGGGCATAAAGTAAATCTGCAAGTACCAGCTCTGGAGTATCTGCTCAGTACTGTTGGAAAAAGGGGTCCTGTTTAAGGGAATTGTGACTTTTTTGTTTCCTATGTTCTCTGAAGTTAACACAAAAATGTTGGGGGGTTTTGGATTAATATTTTGGATGCATAACATTCAGATGCTTTCTACAGAAGAGGCTTCTATATATCTTTGAAATGAAAGAAAAGTATTGTTTGCAATTAACTTTTTTTTTTTCTTCCAGAATCATACACTTGAACTTGCTGCACTTTCTCCAAGCATAGAGAGTTTGAATGAAGCAAGCATTAAGCTGCCAGTTAGTGACCTCACCCTGAAGAAAATGCAGAGCCTGACGCGTCAGTGGAGTCAGAAGACAGCAACTGCTCTGGAATGCTGCAGGTCTGAAATGCAAACAAAAAATCACTGCTAACAATTTCCTTTTCTGTGAGGAAAACCAAACTAAAGGGATGTCTTGCAATCTGTTCTCAGCTTTCTCAGGGGTCTTGCAAATTGAATTCCTGCCCTTTCAATTTACTCCAGATTATTGGAGTAAATTGGCTTCACCAAGGGCAAGTCCTGCCTGACCAACCTAGTGGCTTTCTATGATAGAGTGACCACATCAGTGGACAAGGGAAGGGCTACCGATGTCATCTATCTGGACTTCTGTAAGGCCTTTGACACAGTCCCCCACAACATCCTTCTTCAAATTGGAGAGATATGGATTTGATGGGTGGACTGTTGGGTGGATGAGGAATTGGTTGCGTGGGTGCATCCAGCTGGTAGTGGTCAACAGCTCAATGTCCAGATGGAGACTGGTGATGAGTGGTGTCCCTCAGGGGTCCATACTGGGACCAGTACTCTTTAATATTTTCATCAATGACACAGACAGTGGGATCAAGTGCACCCTCAGCAAGTTTGCAGATGACACCAAGCTGAGTGGTGTGGTTGACACGCCTGAGGGATGGGATGCCATCCAGAGGGACCTGGACAAGCGCAAGGAATGGGCCCTTGTGAACCTCATGAGGTTCAGCAAGGCCAAGTGGAGGGTCCTGCACCTGGGTTGGGTCAGCTCCTGGTATCAATACAGGCTGGGGGATGAAGAGATTGAGAGCAGCCCTGCCAGGCTGGGGAATAAAGGGATTGAGAGCAGCCCTGCCGAGAAGGACTTTGGGGTACTGGTGGATGGAAAGGTGGCCATGAGCTGGCAATGTGCGCTTGCAGCCCAGAAGGCCGCCCGTATCCTGGGCTGCATCTAAAGCAGCATGGCCAGCAGGTCGAGGGAGGTGATTCTGCCCCTCTGCTCCGCTCTGGTGAGACCTCACCTGGAGGCCTGCATCCAGCTCTGGAGCCCTCAGCACAGGAAAGACATGGACCTGTTGGAGCGGGTCCAGAGGAGGGCCACAAAAATGCTCAAGAGGGATGGAACAGCTCTGCTGTGAGGACAGGCTGAAGGAGTTTGGGTTGTTCCGCCTGGAAAAGAGAAGGCTCTGGAAAGACCCTAATGCAGCTTTCCAGAACTTAAAGGGGGCTTTTAAGAAAGATGGGGACAGACTTTTTAGCAGGGCCTGTTGTGATAGGACAAGGGGTAATGGTTTTAAACTAAAAGAGGGTAGATTTTGGCTAGATTGAAGGAAGAAATTTTTCACAGTGAGGATAGTGAAACACTGGCAGAGGTTGCCCAGAGAGGTGGTAGATGCCCCATCCCTGGAAACATTCCAGGTCAGGCTGGACGGGGCTCTGACCAACCTGCTGACCAACCAAAGATTCTATGATTCTATTCAGTGGCTATCTGTATTCCAAGTCACTTGAAGCAAAAACCTGTATGTTCATAGGTGAAGAAGGTAGCAAAGTGCCAAGCAAAGCCCTACTATGTTTAGTATTGCTAACCACCATGTTAGACCATATGCAAACATACCCAGAAAAACAACCACCTGTACAATAGTTTCTGATGATTTCTTTTGTTTTACAGTGTGCTGGAGGGAACTCAAAATGATGAAAAGAAATTCTTTCAGAAATGTGAAAACTGGATGAAATTCCTAGAAAAAATGAAAGAGGCCTTAAAAAGAAATATTCCAGGACGGTTTGAAGAACTGCAAGAGCAACAGAGAGTGTATGAGGTACAGCTGACTGTAAAAATGGAAGCATCTTCTTGAATGGTGAAGGTTGAGGGCAATCACTAGAAAATACTATGCCTTTTGAAATTAGATCTGGGCAGAGCTTTACAGAGCATTTAACTCTTTTGAAATGTGGCCTTGCAATTAGAGGAAAACTTTGAAATTTGAAAATCCTTTTCCAAAATGCATGGAGCCCTTTTCGCAGGGACAAGACATTTAGGAGTGTGTCCTGAAGTGTTGTGTCATGGAAGTCCCAGCTGTCTCCAACCCTGAGGTTACTCGCCTGTCTGCCTGTCCTACAGCGCTGAAGCCTGTGGCAACTTAGCTGGGCAGTTTGCTGGTGATCTGTCAGGAACCCTACCAGTTTCTGGAAGAACTGCATTTAAAACTAAATGTTTTCACAGCATATTTGTATTTTGACCAGTTGTTAGATTTTGGTGGAAATCCGTTTCACTGGCATTTTCCAAATACTTGCTATTTGTTATAGAGAGAGAGAGAGTGCTTCACACATGCATGACAGTATCCATTCAGAGGAGAAGGTATATTGCATGCTGGCAGTAGCATGTGGATGCAATTCTAAGCAAAGTATCAATAGACTTTGTCCTTGTGGTGGGAGGATGGAAAAACAACCAAAATACAGAAAAAAAAAAAAAAAAACCAAAAAACATGTGGTAAATGCTAAACATCATGAACTGTAAGGGTGGCCTTTGTGGTCCCACAGTGGACCAGAGCTTCACGCTACCTGAAGTACCGCTGCTAATTCCACAGGGTGTTAAGTCTCTGCATGTTAGTGACATTCACTAGGGTCAACAGAAAGTTATTTTCTCTCTTTTACTTAGACCTCTCCAATTCATTTACTGCAGTTAAATTATTTATAGAATAAACTTTTTCTCATTGTGATGAAGAGTAAATTCACCCTGGTATGTAGCTTTTTTTATACCTTTTCCATGGGTTTCTGTCTAGATTGAATTTCTCATGAATGAGTCCAGCAAACTTAAGGCTTCAGATTACTTGTAACATACAGGTCCTGGTGGGTTCTGATATCACATATGTGCAAATTCCTCCTGGTATCCAAAAAATGTGGAATTTTTTAGGATGCATACTAGCACTTGAAAATAATAGATCTTTCAGTTATTTAAAATTAAATCAAATGCTGTCACTCTAGAGGAGCAGAAGCAGCTTTTGTAGCAAAGGTTGTTCATTGAATAGTTAAAACTGTTGTTCTCATGGTATTTTCAGATGCTGCAAACTGAGATTTCCATAAATCAGCAGACATTTAATTCTATCATAGCAAAAGTTCTATTCTCCCTGGAATCCGGAGAAGCAGAGAGAAGGTAACTTACTTGTTTTTCTCCCCAAGATCTTAGTAATTAAGTAAATATGCTGTCTTGCTTGGAGTTGGTATTGAATCTTTGCTCTCATGAGGACATAAATGCAAATTCTTGACTGGGTTCACTCTTTAAATAACCCCCTGGCACATTTTGCAAAAGTGTGAGGAGGTGCAATGAGAGAGAAACACAGGTGCCTGGCCAGACTGCATTTTGGATAGTAACTGGATGATCTGCCTAACAAAAATAATTGGTCCTGGACAGGAGGCTACCGTGTTAACTCCTACCCTGCAGTTGTTGAAACTAACTTGTAGTTGAGAAACTACCTTCTTACAGTGGATAATGAGCATGCTGCATACGAAAGATCCTTTCTCTCTTCTTAGACCTCTCTGCTTTTTAAAGTGCAGCGGTGTGAGACTATCCACATTGCCCCTGGCACACATGACAGGGCATTGTGTCATAGACCAGGCAACCCTAACCATATGGTAGCTAAACCTGTTTTTATCAGTATGATCTTATACTTTTTTCTTAATCAGTGTAGAATGAGAAGCAACAAGTAATATTTGTGAGCAAGGTTCAAGTGCCACAGGCATTTTTGCTGTGAAGACATTACCTCTCTCTGCCAGAGCTTGTTGCTTCCAGAGAGTTGGCAGAACAGTGTGTGTGCTCCCCTCAGCCACTTCAGTGTCCATAGCTTGGCTTAAAGTTGCTGGGGAAGGTAGGGCTAAACTAAGCAAAGCTGATGGATTTTTGTGTTGAAGCTAGCCCCATGAACACAGGTGTTTGTATAAGAGCTAATCTGGGGGCCCTGGCCTCCTGCAGAGGAGCAGAACTGATATATAGGGGTTGTCTTAACCACTCCAGCTAGATCTGCTGGATCATTTAACCATGTTGTAGGAGAGGCCAAAAAACTGCTTGAATGGGTTCAGTAACAACACAGAGACTTTTCACTTTAGGTCCCACTGCTGTAGGATACAATGATGGTTGACCTCCCACTTACAGCCTGGTAAAAGCAGAGTTCAATTTTGCAGCATAATCAGAGACCTTGTCTCACTTGCATTGACCTTCTTGTTCTTCAGAAAAATGTTTAGTACATATTGTTTCTGTGATTGGTGTACTATATATGTTGCTATAGCACTATAGCAAGAATGACTTGTATTATCCATTCTTGTATCATGTAAAAGGTTTTTTGGATTGCTTAAAAGATGGAATACAGAGAGCAGGGCTGAGCTTAGGGTTGCATAGAACTTTTTGCATAGTTGGGTATTGTAATTGGAATACAATATCGCAACTGGAAATTCATCACAATTATTGTAAAATGCAGTCTTGAGGTCAAAATATATTAACAGTCAACACTTGTCGTTTTCAGAACAGAGTTTATTTCCAAGCTCACATTGCTGAAAGAGCAGTGGCAGAATGTTATCCGGATGGTTCAGCAGAGAAAGAACGATATTGATGGACTCGTGAGCCAGTGGCAGCTGTTCAGGAGTTCCCTGCAGAGCCTCAGCAGACTTCTTGCTGATACAAACAGCTTCCTCATAGCTGTGAAGAGCCAGGACTGCTATAGCCTTTACCAGCTTAGAAATCTAATTTGTGATTTCAAGGTATTGTATTCATTTATCATAAATCTAAAATCTGTGGGATTTTTTCTCAGACTGAAACAACTTCTGTCCAGTAATGTAAAAAGCTTTAAAATCACATGCTTTTGGGGGAAAAACAATTGCTTTTTCTTTCTTAAAGCTGAGCATGGATGAGGAAACAGTGACATTGTGAACGGCTCATTATACTAGGAAACTTCCTGGACAACATTGTCATTTAGTAGCCTAGTATGCTTTAAAAATGTTACTGATATGAACGTGGAAATGCAAGGTGCCAGGGAGATTTGGCAGGAACCTTGGCCAGCAGGTGCCCTCTAGGTCTGCATGCACCTTACTGACGTGGCTGCTGAATGCAGGCCTTGCCGTTTGCCTGAAGGAAGCAGGCACATACGTGTCAAGACAGGCCGTATGGGTCCTGTGTGTGCAGGCGTGGGCAGCAGGGGCCAGGAGCAGAGGATAAAGCACTTTCAAGGGGGTCTGTCCTTGCAGCCACCAGTCCAGGATGCACAGGCCTGGGCAGTAGTTCTTCAGGGCAGAGAGTTCTGCATTTTACATGCAGTGCAAAAAAATATTTTCTTTTGTTAATTTTGGATATTTCGGGTTTCCATTTAATTATGCACCTCTCCGTTCTATAAGAAAGTGAAAACAAGTGGTGATCTTGATGGCTGCTTAAGGCAGTCTAAAACCTTTCAAAAATACATTATTGAATGCTATTTGCATGGTCCAAGATTTATTGTGTTCCCACACACCTAATGTTGATGGATTAATTACCAGTATTTCATTTGACGCTTGCCCTGTTTATTTCAACTTGTATTTTTACTTGCTGTGTAAAGATGATTTTTCAGTAGATTTTACAAGTTAGTGCTCATGCTTTTGTTTAGTGAGAAAACCAGAAAGTCTTCTTCCTCCTACTCCAAATTGCCCTTCCCTCCTGCTGTTGTTTTACAGAAAGAAACAATTGATTATATCTGCTTGTGTTATAGACCAATTTGTGTTGTTGGCAAATTATTATTGATGGCTTACTTCACTTGGAGTATGTCATGATTAACAGAGCTGTTACCTCTGAAAAATTTGTCTTAGTTGTTGATGCTAGAGGTGCTAACAGAACTTAAATTAGTGTTTTATGCTGTGTAACTCAGAACTGAATTTCCATCTTTTTGTAAGTGCTGCACTTTCACTTTATAGATTCAGTCTATGAAAAGCTATTGTAGAGTTTTATAGATCAGAAAGAATCTGATTTTTCTGAAATTAAAAAAAAAACAAACAGGAGAAGATCTATTCATTACTGTCTCGTGAACAAATTAGTGCCTTGTAACTCCTTTGTGACTTTGTAAGTCCTTGTAAGACTTTGTGAGTCTTCACATCTTCCCAAGTGAAATGCCAGGAGTGCTTCTGAAGCTTGCAAAGAACAGCTTAGAAACGTTTTTTTTTTTTTCTTTTTTAAAGAGTAAGGCAGTGATTCTTCAGAGGTGGCAAGCCATGTACTCCTTAATCATCGATGTTGGGGAGAAGTTGCGCACCGTCTCTGACCCCGAGACCAATGCTGTTCTCCAGGAGGAGCTCAGCCAGTTACAGGAGAGTTGGGGGGCCACCCACGCCCAGCTGGAGAAGAAGATGATGCAGCTCAGCAGCACCCTACAGGTAGATGATGCCCTTCCCAGAGAGGAGCAGCACCTACTTCTCTGGCATTGAGTCTCAAGAGCTCAGGGCTGAGCTCTGTAGCAACGAGGCAAATACTGAGCTGCTGCTCACTGCGGAGGGGCTCTGAGGGAAGTGCCTGCCATGTGACATCAGGGCTTGTGGGAAGCTAAAACTGTTGTCCCCTGATTCTTCAAAGGAAAATGGGGTTGGCATCCATTTGTTGCTACAATGAATGTTCCCTCTCTAATTGTTCTCATGCTCCCCATGGCCTGGTGCTCTATCCTGCTTTAGGCTATGAAGCCTGAGCTAAAATTTAGCTTAGAGGGAGTTAGCATGCGTCGTTGCTCCTCCTGTTGTTGCACCCCTAAACAGAAGGATAGGTTATATTTATTTGCTTAGAGCAATGAGTGTACATTCATGGCTAGACAACACATATGTATGTCTTAAAATTGAATACTGTCATCAATACAATCCCCAGCCCGAAACCTGTGCTTAAAGCCTCTTGGGTTGGACAAAACAAAACGAGCAGAAATGCTCTGTAAAGCAAACCTTAAATACAAGACAGGGTTCAAGTTCTGTAAATTCATGCACCACATTCTTGTGGGTGGTGCTATCTATCAAAAAGAAAATCCAAATAACCAAAGTACATGATTATCTACTTCAGTGGGTTGAAGAGGCTATTTTGTAACATATCCATATGGTTCAATATGTCATCATAAGGTATCTTAACCTTTTATAACTTCCTTGGGTCTCCCTGAGCAGAGTTGGGACTGCTGTGAAAAGCACATGAAGGAATTAGAAAGTAGGCTGCGAGAACTGAAGGAGAAAGTAAGAGATCTACTTGCAGTTGAACATGAAGAGCTCTACAAAGCCAAGGAACAGATTAAGGTATTGAACAGCCGTATTGTATTTAAATAGATGTAGTCCTGGCATGACACACAATTCCTCTAAAATTGTTTTTCCCTCCTACCTGCTCTTCAGTGACACTGAATTTCTCTCCTTTATACCACCCTGATTGCTGCCAATCTGCAAAGTCTAGCCAACCAAGAAGATTACAAGAGTACTAGTAGTGTTTGGATTTTTTTTCCTGCTTCTGCTCCCTTTCCACAGTCTGAATTTATTAAATAAGCAGTTCCTCAAACAAAAGGGAAAAAACTCCCAGGTCTCAGCTCATTTGGCTGCTATTCTAATGGCTGAACCTCCCTTTTTGTTTTCCACTCCATTTTGGATGGGGAGCTCCTCAGGCTTTGTGAGTCTGCAAAGCACTAACACACACCTGTGGGATCTGAGAATAATTAAAGGGAAGGAAAATTAAGAGTAAGGGAGTGGCAAAAGCCCTTGCAGCCCATAGTGCACCATGAAAATTAAATAGCAAGGAAAGCATTTCCACAGGATAGGAGACATTTTGTCTGGACTGGTCAGTCTTTCATCATCCTTTTATGAAGTGAATTGTTGACCTATGTAGTGGGAACAAATAAGCTTATTAACGAGCTAAGGCTTTGAACTTGTTATCAGCTGTCTGAAATCTTCTTTGTGAGTGCTGGCTGCCTTTCCCACAGCAGCAGTCTTGCTGTAGCCCTGAATTATTTGTGAGATGGCAGCACACGCCTCCTGCCTCTTATTCCAGCAAGAGAAATTCAGCCACAGAGGCATGAGGGTCAGACAGTGCCAGTACAATTGCTGCTCTTGGGTGACACAGAATAATAAAGGACCAAAATGGCACGGGTGAGAAGGGACCTCCTTTCCTCTCCCTGCATTTCAATCTTCTATGGAACAAAGCTGTTTTTCTCTCAGGCCTGGACCTTATATGAGGCTAGCAAAATCCCATTAAATTCCATCATTAGCTCCATTAATGCAGGGATTCAACCCTTGTTAAAGATATATAAATGCATGTGTGCACATCTGTAGGGAGTAATTTATTGTGAGCTCAGCTAAATTTTAGTCTCAGGTTTGTTTGGGTTTTTTTTCCTCCAGTGCTGAAGTAGATCAGATATTTTTTTAATTATTTAGATAAGTGACTGGTTGGTTTGGGTTTTTTCCCTCCAGTGTTGAAGCAAATCAGATTTTTTTTTTTTTTTTTTTTAATGATTTAGATAAGTGACTGGATCAAGAGACCTGTGAAAATGCTTGGACCCTGCACACTTATCCTGATACAAACTCTCACAATTTTTTTTCCCTTTAAAATGAGACAGATTGGATCCTCTGCAAGAGCTTTTTTTTTTTTATTGGCAGAGGAGCCAGTGACACTTCCCAGCTACCGCCTTGCAAAATGGGATGTAGTACCTCGTGTGTAGAGTATGTTTCCCAGCTGCATGCAGTGGTGTCTCTGCTTTTTAGATGACAATTTTAACACTGATAAGGAAAATGCATAACTTTGTTAAAAAGGGAAAAGGGAGTCGGGGGAAACAAACCAGAAGAAAG